TTAAACTAGGCTATGTCCAACAAACATACTTTACAGGTAGATAGAGTGCTGAGCAAGGGAGGTAAGGTGCAGTATGTAGTTTTGCTCTATGAATCTGACAACATACTTTGAAGTGCATCACAGTTTCCATTTCTGAGGACATTTATTAAACATACAAGTCCAGGTAAGTGTCTGTTACATTAGAACTTGAAGCATTTCAGCTATTTTTTCTCTGGCCTCAGTTTTATTCAGGTCCAACTCCTGAGATGCAGAAATGAGTTTATCCAAATTATTTGAGGCACTTGGATTGCTTATACTAAATTCCTCCATCTTTCAGTTGCTGGAGCTATGATGATAAGTCAACGAAAACAGAGATGCTTTAAAGGAGATAAATCTTTTTAGTGGGTAGACAACACCTCTTTCTTAGAAGCTTGGTTAGGTTAGGCTGTGGGAAGAGATTAATTAGATTCAAATACCCCATCCTGTTCTCTAAAAGACTGTACTGTAGAGTTGCTGTAGTTCTTCTTTATCAGAATCATGGAATCATAGAATGGTTTGAGTTAGAAGGGACCTTAAAGATTATCTGTGTCCAACCCCTTTACTGGCAGGGACACCTCCCACTAGACCAGGTTGCTCAAGGCCCCATCTAACCTGGCCTTGAACGCTTCCAGGAATGGTGCAGCCACACTTCCCTGAGAAACCTGTTCCAGGGTCTTACCACCCTCACAATGAAGAATTTCTTCCTCATGTCTAGCCTAAATCTACCCTCTTCAGTTTAAAGGTAGTTTCCCCTGCCCTGTCACTACATGCTCTAAAAAAAAGTCTTGAAATCTATTGTTGATGTGCTTTGACTTTGTTAGGCTTTGTCTTTGAAAATGTTTATAATAGACACTGCACATCTGTTATGCTCTTACAAAGAGGAGGATCTTTGTATGCCTCAACAGTCTGCTACTATACAAGCACTTGAATCCTGAATACATCTGAAGCTGGGGATTATTTTTCCATTTTTCTGTTTTCTTGTCTCATGTCACTTGTTGTGATAAGATTCATGACAGTTGAGGCAGCCCATCAGCTTTCAAATCCCAGCTTAAAATGTCAGCTTCTCAAGGCAGAATTAGTAAACTTGCTATAAACCTAATTAAATTTTGTAGAAATCATTTATGGCTACCAAGATATAGAGGTACTAAACCTTTTTCTATATCAAAAGACAAACTGAGTTTGTAATTCTAATTTGCCTTACACTTCTAGTCAGATTCCAGTATGATGTGTATTTAAATTCTAGAAAATAGTGAACTGTCTGTGAGTGATTCTAAGTGAAAGCTAGAAAAACATGCCTAAATTTTGCTTTCTTGAAGTCTGTTATTTTGATACACTTGCCAGTGTTGTATTGTCACTGTGGGTGTGAGTAGTAGGAAGCAGGCAATCATGCTGCAGGGCTTTATTATTTCTGGCTGGGAAAGGTGCCCACTTGCCACAATGGCTTCTTTAGTTTTTCATGCCTCCTTCTCCCAGTTCCAAGCCTTGCGAATTTGGTGCTTGTCATGGGCGGGCTCAGCTGAGCTCTCAGCAGCTGCTTTTGCAGGTCAGGCCTTGTGTGCCTTGCTTGAATGGGGACACGTCTGGATCGAGTCCAAGTCACCCAGCTGCAGCTCAGGTAGTCCACTCGTCTTCAGCAGCACCAAGAAAGAGGGTTTCAAGTAGTTGCCTTTGCAAAAACATTGTGAAACTTTGTAGAGAAACAGGTTTTCCTAAAAAACTAGGTGGAGGAACTTCAGGTTTTTCTTGAACAGAGAGACCTGTTACCTCTCTCAAACATTTTGCACTGCCTCTGGAAATGGGGATAAATCCATGTATCTTCCATTATGCCAGCAACATTTTCTAGCATTCTGAATCAGTGATTCCTGAAACTTGAACCAACCTTACGCATTTTACACAAAAAAACTGGAATCCAAATATCTCTGCTTATTCTGGCTGGACTATCTAGGATGTCTTTTCACTGCATTTGCAGAGTCCACTGTAGTGTGTCATGACACTGAGTAGGCCAGATGTAGAACTGGCATTTCAGGGCCAAAGAAGCAGCAGCTGTTACAGAACTGAGAGAGGATGGGGGGATGGACAGTCTGTACATGGAAGGAATTGTTGTGTTGCCAATATTTTGATATAATGAGGCTCAGCTAAAAAAGTTCAGAGCCACCCTGCAGTCAGCACGTGACAGGGCAGGTAAGGTACAGCAATTAAAATGGGTCTTCTAAGCTCTGTGTCCAAAAGCAGGAGTTGTAACAAAGTGTTAAGTTCAGGTAAAACTGTTGCTGTTGTGAATCTGTAAGTACTCTAAAGGTATGGCTTCAGTATCTCAGAACATCTAGACAGCAAGTAGTGGAAAAGCTTAATTATTCCTCTTTAGAGATCAAAGGTTTGATGTACAAGAGAACATTTTATTACCACCTTGCAGTCTCTCCTTTCCTCTCAGATTGCTCACAGGGTATTCTTCTCATCTTGTTTTTAGATGCCTGCACTAGGATGAAAAGTGCCCTGTAAATGCTGAAGTAAACTAGCTCAGATGCTGACATTTCAGTTGAACAAGATAAAATTCCTCCAAAGAGAAAGTCTATTGCTTATTATGGAGTATGGCTGAGAAAAGCAGGTTTTTCTGTTTGTGATACCAGGATTATACTCTCATGTCCTGTTGTTCTGTGTGGTGCAGGACCTGGGTTCTCCAACGATAGAAGAACAAGTTGATCAGCCTACAATAGATGATGAGACTGTGCTTATTGATCCTTCCTCTCATGGTTTTATCCAGACAACAGATGACATAGACAGCGAGTCAGTCTTGCCCCTGACAACTCTAACAGGTACATCAGTCCCTTCATATGGCTGATGCTGCATCTAGGATTCATTAAAACATTGCTTTGAGATCCTGTAAAGAACACTTTTAACAATTCTTGCTTTCTTTTAAATAATTTTCCATGTCGTTGCTATGGAACTTGAAGCAAGTTGGGTTACCCCACTTGTATCAGTAGAAGTGGAAGAAAGTCCCACTTAACCTTGTGGAAACAGCATTAGAATACCAGCTGCTTCACCACTTGCTGAACTGTTTGCATCACCCTTGAGCCTTGAATTAGTACACATAGGCTAACGAGTAACTTTTTCTGTAGTGTGCATTTCTTCATGCCTGGTGCTTGAATGAAATCTGGTTTCTTATTTGAGAGCAGGCTAGAAGCATCAGAAATGCACTTCATGTCTCTCATGGTGAGGGGCTGGGGTTTGGGGCTGTGTTTACACAGCACTCAACTGGAATGGCTTGCTAGCTTGTGCCACACTTCCCAGTGCCAAGAGTCATCTCAGCTTGGAAGCAGCACAGATGTATTCTCCCACTGCTGCACGTAACAAATACTCCTTTCCAGGGGAAGGGTTCTCTTTGCAGAGCCATCAGAGGCTCAGCACTAGGCCTGATACACTAATACCTGATAAATCTAAATGTGAGTGGCACCAGTTGCATCCCATATTTGTCATAGCTTACCTTGAAACTAGAAATTGAGAACTGCCTAGTTTGAGCAGCATTATTTAAAATTGATTAAAATTCCCAACCGCCTTTTCTGTCTCCTAAGTATGTATTTTTTGTCTTGTTATAACAGCACAGTAAATAATAGTTCTAATGTGCTGTGTCTCCTAACAGATCCTATTCTACAGCATCATGGAGATGGGTCACACATTATTGGCTCATCACTGGGCAGTCCTGACTCAGAAGATTCAAAGGATGTTGAAGATCTAGTGAGCTGTCACTGAGCAGCAGGGATCGTGTCCGTTATCTATTAACAGTGTTTGCGTCGTGAAATCAGTTACAACCCCTGCCACCTTTCCAAAGAACACAGTCAGTCCGGGTCTTTAAACAGCAACTTCCAGTTTGGAATGGCTACAGTGCACTTTCTCTGTCAGGCTACTTACCTCATTTGTAAAGGGTTACAGAGCAGCCAACCCAAGCCTGATGCACTACGTCTGCCAAGGTGTTCCAGTGTTCTGAAGAACCTCTGTTGCAGTGCTCACTGCTGGGATCCATGTGGTTGGTTCCGATCTGACGAGGTACCAGTGTGCTGGGCTGCACATCTGGAACACTGGACAGAAGTCAGGGATCGTGGAGCACAGCCTCCTAGTGCCACAGCAAGAATTAGTTTGCACACGTTTCATGAAGAATGGGTGAGGATTTCTGCACTTATTGACTCTTGTAATACATGGAGTAAGAGACTGTTACATTTCAGGAAGAAGTGTTCCAGCAAAGACTTCAGGGAGCATGGGTAGCATCCTGAAGAAATGGTCTGTGTTCCCATCTCGTCTGCCTTGTTATTATGTCTACAGTATAGGAAGAAGACAAAGATGCTTATGGGACTTGCCTGCTCTGCCTGTTCCTGAGGAGTCCGTTGCTGGCAACGGGTAAAGCTCAGATCACTTGAAGAAAACTTTTTTTTCCTTCATCACTACAGCAAGCTGAATAAAAAGGGAAGGGCTATGAGAAAGGGAAGCTACTGGGACCCACCAGCCTCCCCCCACAAGCTTGTAACTTCTTTGAAGACTTTTGTGAGTAGGCTGGAACATTTGTCTCTCTCGCTGTTTACACAACACCACCAGCCACCTCTCCAGAGGTGATTTATGCAGCAAGTTGGTAGATGGGGGGTGGTGTGGAGGTGGCAGAGTCTTGGAGAAACAGCTCTGTGAAAATTCGGGCATAGGGCCCTGAGGCAAAAGAAGCCAATTATTCCTACATTCAAGGGTTTGAAACAGACACTAGGCTGAGCAGCAGCCTGTTAGCTAGGGATTGAGAGAAAAAGCTATAGGAACTAAAGACTCATGTATAAATTATTTTATTTATTTCTGTAATTAGCTCTTCATAATCAAGAGTTGGTCTTTTTCAGTCCGTGGTTTTGTTAATGTGAAAAATAAGTTGTAGTTTCAAATGGTTGCCTAGGGAACAGAAATAATTGTATATTCAGTTTAAACGAAATAAAGAGTATTTGTCTTACATAACTGTAAGATGCCATTTATTTATACTGCTACAGATCCTTGCAATGCTGCAGTTTATTTGTACAGTAATAAAAAAATGCAGTTTTTTCCAAAATGAAAAAGCTTGTGCCGTTCTGAAACATCAGTACAACTGGAATGTTCATTAAGTGCAACGGTAGCTCTTCAAAAAAAAGCAGCATGTCACATCTTATGGCAATAATTCTCCCCAACAAGAGGGACATTACATGTACATTTACATGAAAATCATGTACTGATTTATCCTTGCACAACCCACTTCTTTCCTCTCAGGCTGATTGTCCTCACTTAAGTGTGTCGAGTAGAGCTGAGATGGAAGCAGTCTGATACAGCAGCATCATCGCTGGGTATTCCCAATGTCCATTATTTACCCACTTCATGGAAGTACAGGTTGGCACATATACATAACATGACAATAGAAAATAATATATAGTAAATTAGGTTCCTAAATTTAGGTTCCAGGTCTCCTTGTCGATACCAATAGATCTAGAAGAGAGAAGGAGTTTGTATTACTTCAACATGCCAGGTACTTCTGAGGAAGCTTTCTGTGGCAATTGGATTGTCAACTTCCAGAGCTTTTTCTCCTTGTATAACAATCCAGCTTCATCTGCCTAGACAAGACTTAAGTGTGGAGTTCAGCTAATTTTTTTAATGATTAAGAAATGTTAAGCTTTCTTAGCCTGCTTGTGGGACACAAACAAGGCTGTTTCTCCCCAGAACAAGGCTGTTCATGAAACTAGGGTGCCAGGTTAGCTATGAAGACATGGGTTGTCTTGTCAACTTTGTGGAAGAGGGTGGGTGGGTTGGTTGAGTTTTGTTTTTAACACTCAAACTGGCTACACCCTGGTTGGTGAAGACAAATGTCAGGTTTTGTGCTACAGAATGTTTTGGGCAGTGATGGCTACCAGTCATAGAACCAGAAACTGGTACTGACCAAGCAACACAGAGCGACTTCCCAGCTTACCCAGCAGTGAGGAGCAGGGGCTCAAGGCCACCACCAGTCCAGGTCACAGTTGGAGGAAGGAGAATGCTCCAAGTATGAAAAGCTACAGCAGAGGAAGGAGGTGCTGGTATCTCTGCCTATGGCAGGCGGGGCTGTACTAGATGATCTCTGAAGGTCCCTTTCAACCCATCCTGTGATTCTGTGACCTGCCAGTTCCCTTTGCCAGCACTTGGGACCAACTTGGTTTGCCATAACAGTTAGGTAGAGGAACCTTGGCTCTTACACCAGTGCCACCTGCTGTTCTTCCCTGCCACTGTAATTCATCCCCTGCACCTGAAAAGCTCACTGACTTCTGCAAGTGCCTGCCCCACCACATCAAGTGTTTTGTTCCAGCCCTGATCTGCTGCAGCACAGTCCATCTCCACATTCCCATCTCACTGCACTGCTCCTTGGTTTCCTACTTCACTGGCAGCTACAGGTGGCATTGTCACAGAGGTGACAAGTCATTCATCACAGCTGGTCTGCAGAAGTTAGCTTAGTTCACACACTTACTCTGCAGTAAACATGGAACTGGTTACCATGCTTTCATTGTCAACTTGTTTTATGGAGGCAGGAAAACTTTTCTAGGAGAGTGTAAAAAAGAAGGCAGCACCATGTAAAGCAGATTTTATTCAGATTCCATCCTCAGTCAGACTTAAAAGCTTCCACATCAAACGTGGCAGTACTTACAAGTATGCCAGCAGAAATGCAACACAAGGAGATGCAGAAAGCAAAAAATACATTCACAGGTTTTGGAGGTAGTTGCGGGAAGACAAAAGCACTGATTAGAGTGACCTGTAGGGAGGAAAACAGAGATGGAGACTTCGCTCTCACCTGCAGTCAGAGCTGTGATGAGAGGAGGCTCACCCCCAGGGCTGGCACAGTGCAGCACTCACATCAGCTCTGCACACCCCTCCCTGCTCCTTAACTCCCACCCCGTGAAGAGCTGGAGAGAAATGTAAAATTCTGCAGGAAAATTACTTTGACACAACTGCAGACTTAGAGGGGTGGAAAAAAAAATGAGGAAAGCTTTGCTACTCTGGCTTGTTGCTGGAAACAATCCTTCAAGTACCCATAAAGCCAGCAGGCACAGTGATGGAGCATCCCTTCAGCCAAGCTTTCCACCAGCTGGCACCTTGGCTCTCCCCACTGCCTCCCTGCACCCTGGCTTGCCCATGATGCTGCCACCATGGACCACAAAACTGATGCTTTCCAGTCATAATTGAGCTTGGGGAAAACATAACTTGAGAGAAAGTAACAAACTTTGGAGGCACTCCTATAAGCCATCAATAGATGGAAATAAAATAAAGAGAAACAAACACATTCTCCTGGGTCATAAGCACTTTCTCATCTCACCCAGCCTCAGGCTCAGCCAGATGGACCTTCTGCCCATGGACTTAGGGCTTTTTTATTGCACAGCCAGATCTTAAAACAGCCTGAAGAAAGGTATAATCCTGTTGTCAAAAAGTTTCAAATGACAGATGCACCCCAAAGTGTCTATCTGGGCCCCAAGCTACAGCCTGTTCAGTGAAATTTTGCTGCCATTTTGGGGAGGTTTTCACCCCATTACCTACGGGAGTCTTAAAACACAGGATGGACTGGAGGATACTTACTATGAGCAGCAAGGACGTTAAGCCACCAACAGCTAGATTGATGATTCTGTCCTGGAGAAAAGAGAGGACAGTTACATGCCTGCCTTGCCAAGAAAAAAACATCAAAAAAACCACAACAGAAAACCAAACGCATAAAACAGGCCGGCAAACAACACCACCACCAAGAGCACCACATCAGCCAGGACCCATGTTATCCCCAGCATACCCAGCAGCACCACTGGGGCTCCATGGTCTGCTCTGCCATGCAGGAAGGTTTCCTTGGACTCCATGCACCTGCAGAAGGTTGCACAGTCCAAGTCCCTGTGCAGCAGGTTTGCTCACTGGCAATTGGCTTTTTCACTACATCCGAGTTGCTGGCAGCTGTGCAAGTCATTTTTAAAAAATCTTGAAAAGTGGGAGTGCACAGATGAAGGTTGTCAGAAAATTTTAGCCTCAGTGCCTGAGAATGAACAGCTTGATGGTGTCTTAGGTGATAATTTGTGGGCTGCTACCAAGGAGGTGAAGTGTTCCCCCACCTCAAAGGTTTCCCCCCCTGAGACCAAAAGACCTGAACATGCCTCAGGGTGTCCCTGCATGGATGGACAGATAACCCCACCACCACTTCTTTATGCTGCTCCCTGTCAGTGTGAAACACTTGGCTGTGAGGAAACAACCTTTTTGCACCTGGGAAGAGGTATCCCTCTGTGTCAGCACTGCAGTCCCACCACAGATGGTGTCAGGGCAGGGACTGGCAGCGACACTGGGCAACGTGACCACAGGCGGCTCAGAGGAGTGACCGGGGCATGACCCCATACTGACGCACTTGCTGGAGTAAGAAACTATTTGATGCAAAAGGAGAACATTTGCCATCCTTGCCAGGGCACCTTTCTCCTCCCTTTCTTCACAGTGCTACTCTCTGAACATAAAGATCTATCTCCAAAGTCAGACTGGGTTGCATGCAGTCAGGTGTAAGACCCCAAACAGCTGGTTCTCCAGATGAAGTGCTAAAACAACAGCTACAGCAGAGAAGATGTGCAGAGAGAAAAAAACAACAAACTGAACTTCAATTCATTATACTGGGAGTCATTAAATCGGTATGGTTAAAGGAAAAAGAAGAGTTGGAGCAGTGAAAGCATCTTGCCCAAGACATTCCATGCAGCAGACAGGGCAACCCAGGTTTCCTTCCACCTGGTCTTGCATCCTTCTTCCCTCCTATAGTAACATTTTTTGACTATCCATCGAGGAAGAAGCCCCAGATTATGAAGAAGTAACACATGGCAGCAGCAGAGAGAAAGCAGGAGGACAGAGGAGAAAGCAGAGAGCCAAATATGCTCTTGCAGGAGACCACCAGTCCTGAGCTGGCACTCAGAGTTTGGGGGCCTGAGTTCATGGTTTAGTAACAGGCAAATGCTGTGCCCTGGTCAGTGGCTGTTCTGTCCCTCCATGCCCCAAGGGAAAGGGCCACAACAAGCTGCATTTTAAAAACTTCTGTTAGTCCCTGGCTCCTTTTATGTAAAACCAGACCATTTATGCTCCTACAGCTCAGAAGGCCCAAGCTGTGGGGAATGGCAGTGGCTGCAGCAGTGGGACATGCCCCACCTCCATAGCAAATTGTCACCAACACCCCCTGCACAAGGTTGTCACCAGCCAGTCACAAACCCCTTCTCACCAGCATTTCCACACACTGTGTCTGGGATACAACAGCAGCTTCTGGAGGACTTCTATGAGGTACCCACCACTGACCCCAAAAAATGAGCTACAAGAAATAACTCCAGGCAAACAACAGAAGCAACAGGGTGAAATACAAACATGCTGCCACCAGGAGAGTGTATCACAACAGCTCGGCTGGGCTCCTCCACCTCAGCTGAAACCAATCAATTTAAGAACTCAAAGCTAACTTTAATCTAGAGGATATGCAGAGGGGTCCCTACCCCCAAAAGCAACTCCTGTATCAAGAGAGGATGTTGGTTTTGGGGACCTGGCTGAGCCCACCAAGATGATTTTACAGAGGGAGACCAGAGTCTGCATTTGGGCTCAGCTGCCCAGAGAAAAAGGGGTAGCAGGAGGTGAGCAACTGGATCCCTTCTCCTTTTGTGCTCAGGGGAGGTGGGTTTTGAGCAACAGAGAAAGGGGAGGGAGTGCCAAGGAGCCAGCTGCAGCTGGGCAGCAGTGGGTCACTGTCCTGTACAGCTAACATGAGGAGCACAGTCACAGCCAGCTCCGTGGAGAGGCTCAGAGGGACAGGCACACAGTCACACACCTACAGACAGGATACACCATCCAGAAACTCTGCTACAATTAGGTGTCTTGTAATTAATTCAAGACTTGGAGGGTGGCAATTTTAAGATGGGGAGAATTCACCTGTTCTGCCAGGACAGAGATTGATCTGCTGGGAGAAAAGAAGAAGGGTGGACTTTGTGGTGGTCATGGAGTGTTTCTTGGTGCCTGTTTTACGGGGTGCAAGAGAGAGGGTTCCCCTAGCACAGGGACCTCTCCTCTCACACTGTCGAGTGACAGACATGGCAGCAACAGCCAGGTTGGGTACAGATGCCATCAGCAGAGCAGGTGGCAGTCAGTTCTGCCCTGCAGGTCAGGGCATCCATCCCCTTCCCTGTGGTCGCTAAAATTTTCCAAATGCGCTGCAGGCAGAAGAAGGTATTTCAGGATCCAGGGATTAGAGCCACTGATCCTGAAATCCTAGGCTTGGCAAAGCAGCAAGAGGCTGTATTCCCCAGTGCCCACTGACACTTCAGCCCCAGGCAGCTTAGCACAGCAAAAAGGTTAAAAATACACAAGCAGAGGCCGAGACAGCTAAAGGGATTGGGGATGACGGAGCCTTTCACCTCTGTGCCACATCCGAGCGTGCAGCTCAGGCCCAGCAGACACAGATACCAAGCATGAAGAAACAGGCTGGGAGAAACCATGTGTCCTACAAGCCACGTCACCCAGCTGGCACTGCCAGCTCTTGCAACCAGCACAGCTGATTCAGGGTGGATTTTTCTCTGGCATCACTAGGTATTATGATAGTTGCTAGAGTAAAAAGACACACACAAAAAAAAAACAACAAAAGAAAAAGCAGCACGCACACCAGAACAGTGAGCACTGCTAGAGATCACCTGCACCAGAGCACAGTGCTCACACATGGACACTAACTTCTGATGCAGCCTGTAATGTGCTGGTGAGGATCCCCACTCAGCCAGCCAGCAGCTGAGACACAGTGAGCTGTTGGCCTGAGAGGTGACAAATGCTTTGGTGTTGCACAAGCTGCGTTTCGAAAGAGGAGTTTTTGCCCTCTCCTCCTACTCTAGGGAGAGTGTTGCAGCGATTGGAGGCATGGGGCTGGCCCCAAGGAGCTGCTGGGGTGCAGAGGTCACCCTCCAGATGCCTCTGGGCAGGGGAGACGAGGTCAGGGAGCATCAAGCCCTTGCAGAGCAGGGGGGCACAATCCAGAATCCTTCAGGATCTGGGAACCAGGGCAGGACTGAGAGTGTATCCACAGCACTGTGCCCGCAGCATGGGCACAGCAACAGCAACAGCTTTGCTCAGCACCTTGTATCCTCCAAGTTAGCAACTTGTGGGCTGAGCCCATGAAGAAAAAGCTCCAGGCAGAGGCTCGGCCAGGGCAGGGAAACAGGTTGGTCCCCTGGAGGTTGGGTACCTGGTGGTAACTCTGCAGGCATGACAAAAAAGCCATTTTTATGCCTGACATCATTAAGTCCAGATGGTCAGCAGCAATTGCAGCGAGATGCCAGCCCACTTCAGCCATAGGGAAATACCTTAATCTAGTGCCAGATTAACCTACGTGGAATAGCAGACATATGCTGTACAGGAGGAGAGCTTTGGTCAGGACTATGCTGGCCACCCACCTGCTGCAAGACACCAGGAAATGCTCCTGAGCCCTTGATGGCTCCTCATTCTGATCCTGAGCTGCTCAGTCTCTTTCTATTGCCTTCTCCTTCCAACTTGCAGCAATTAACACCCACCCGCTTATACTGAAATGCTCCCATCACAGAGGAACCCAAGCACCTTCTACTTTGAACTCCTTTCCCAAAGCCTCCTGCATCTGTGATGCTCCATCTCCCCTTTGGCACCGCACTGCCTGTGCCTTTGCTTTGCATTGTCTCCTGCACCCCCAGTAACCACAGCTGAGTCCACAGTGCTTGGCGCTCATCAACATCATCTCACTACACTCCCACTTACCACCAGAGACTTCTTTGCTACCAGCTGGCACGAGAGGGTGAGCTTGGCAGAGCAGCCAGACCATGGGAAGGGAAGGAGACTGATGCTGCTGCCTGTCTCCCTTGTCCCCACAGCCTGGCTTTAGCCCCAAAGCCACCAGCTTGGAGAGTAGGAGAGCCTAAGAAGGTGAGAACAGGGCATCCCCATTTCTACATCCATGTCCAACTGCCCAAACCTCTGACTTGGGTGCAGGGCTTCCAGGGGCATGAGCACTGGCCCTGCCCCTCCCTGTAGCCTCACATTCAGCCCGAGCAGGGTCCTGGTTTTGCCAAAACCAGCCATCGCCTGCAGAGGCCCAAAAGCAGAGCCAGGACACAGGCAGATGCACTTTTCCCAGCAGACCTGCTCCCATTTTAAGGCAAAGTTTAGCTTCATTATTTCTGAGACTGAGCAATTCCAGCTCTGGACCTCACCAGCGTCTGTCTCTAGGCAACGCCAATGAATGATGGAAGAAACCACCCCAGGCCAGCACAGCAATCCCTTGTCCATCAGACACGGGTATGGCAGGGAGACACCACCAGCTGCCACCAGCTCCTCATGACAGGTTCCAAAAACAGCCACAGGAGATGGGCATGGGGTGATGTGCAGGACACTGGATCCCTGTTCGAGCCCAGAAACAGGAATTAGCATCCCCTGTTTGTTATTTACTGCTCTCCATTGTGAGCAGAGACTCAGCCAGAAAGAGACAGGAGGACACGGATCAAAGGCTTGACCTGGGATGGAAAGTTTGGGGCTTGCCTGCTGGGATCACTGCCCAGCTCCAACAGCACATCCCAGTCCCCAGAAGTCCCCATTCCTATCGGCTTCCCAAAATCCTCAGCCAAGGATCAGCCATCGTTATCCCTGTGCAGGGCACTGTGGTGAAGGTCCCTCACCTCTATCCCCTCCCTCTCAGGGCCAACACCATCTGCCCCCTCATTTCACCTTCTGGAAATCCCACTTCTCCTCCTCCTCCTCCTCTCCTACATCTTCTTTTTCTCCCCTCAAATGTGGCTGTTATCACTTTATTTACATTTTCATTAAACGTTATCATTTTAGCAGCACTTCCAAACGCTGGGAGGGAGGGGAGGTGCGTTAGGAGGGATGATGCATTTGAGACACTTCTGTGGGTAACTCAGCACAAGTTCAGCCTGCACCCCCTCCAAAGCCACAGGGTGATGTGCAGCCCCTCCAAAGAGGGGCCAAACCCCAAGCCCTGCTGGAAACGGGTGCACACACAGGAGGTTATGGCAATTCCCAAGGGATCTCTAAGCCCCCTGCCCAGGGCAGCCCCCCAGAGCAGACACGGACCCACAGCAGCACCCAAGGCTGCCCAGCTGAGCAGCTTACAGGGGATTGACACCTGAAGAGCCGGCGCTGCCCCACGTCAGCCAGCCCAGGAAAAGCAACTCATTACCAGGAAGGCACCCAAAGCAGCCCCCCCAACCCCAGCAAAGACCCCAAAATTGAGTGAGATGCAGCTCGGGGTCCTCCAGCCCTGGGTCCTGCTTTTTGGGGCTGCAGGGCCACACACCTCCCCCAGATGGAGCACCCCAGCTGGAGTGAACCCCCTGGCTGCACCCAAGCCCCTCCAG